AAAGTGAAATCCTGTTCCAGGGCCCTGTGTGCCAGCAGACACTGTCTGACCCTTCTGCTTCCTTAGCAGACACTTGAATGCATTTAAAACAAGAAACAAAGCAAGAAGAATCAGTGTGAAGTACCAAAAACCTTCGCCCGGCCCCAGGGACGGGCTGGCAGGGATCTCTGCTCCCGGCCGCCAAGGAAATCCTGGAGGGCAAAGTGAAATCCTGTTCCAGGGCCCTGTGTGCCAGCAGACACTGTCTGACCCTTCTGCTTCCTTAGCAGACACTTGAATGCATTTAAAACAAGAAACAAAGCAAGAAGAATCAGTGTGAAGTACCAAAAACCTTTATTTTTTTCCCCCAAACCGTAACAACATTTGACATTATATTGATTTCCTCATATATTTGTTATTTCTCTACGTTAGGAACCAGATACAGAAAATACAAACACGATCTGTTGAATCAAAGACGGCACAGCATTCCATTAGAAAAAGAAACAAAAAAACTAGAGGAGCAAGATAAAAATGGTGAAAAATAGTCATCCCTCCAGCCCAAACTTTCCAAGAATCATCATCAAAATAGAGCAGTGGAAGTAGCTTCTCTTTCTAAACGCACTTCTGCTTTAGGAAAAAAGTTAGATTTATCTTTAGATTTCAAAGTAAAAAAATGTTAAACTATCTTTCAAGCAATTTTGGAAGTTTGCATAGACCCATTCCCTTTCCAAAAATATCAGCGCTCTCTCTATAGAATCTGATATAAACCAAGTGCGCGCCTCAGCTGAAGATCACCGAGCTCACTTAACTCTCACGAAAATAAAACGGGATCTCCCCTTCCCCTCCCTCCCCCCACAAAAATACGGGCTCTACCGTTACTCCTTGTGTTCGAGGCAAGTTACGAGGCTCGGCCACTCCTCTCGCTCACGGCTTCATCCCAATTCCTTTTTTCTTTCCCGGCTTTCCACGTCCGCTCCCTCCCGACCGGACGGGGGCGATGCGACGCGGAGCTGCCGAGGGCAGCGGGCTCGGATGGCGCGGGGGGGGCTGACGGACGACGCAGCTCTCGGGAGGGAACAGGGGGGGCAAATTTTGTGCTCATCAACCCCCCTCAGCGAGAAAGTGGCTTTTCGAGGACCAAAA